TATTTCTTTCCTACTTCTGGCTGCCATTTCATTGGCTGAGTTTCTGTCTTTCTTGGTCTCTGTGGCCATCGGACGTTTTAGTCATCTTGCCGTCTGACCTTGGTGCTGGTGGCTGCTCTCCTCTGCCCTGAGTGTAAAGGTCTTGTCACCTACTGGGAGATAATGGCTTGTTTTCATCCTTGCTGATAGCCAGGGTGATGCTGAGGAGATGCAGTGCTGGAGTGTGACCTTTGACAGGAACTTGCTTAAATAAAATCAGATGATCACCTGAATACACTGCTTTCAAGACACAGGTGATTCAATAGACCCCTAGCCTAGAGGGATTACATTTTAATTAATGTTATTTTTAACCTATCAGTAGCCACTGGAAAAAATATTGATTACTTCTGTAATAGAGACCACTTACCTTCCAGAATATATATTGTTAAATTTATGGAGAAGGCATTTTTAATTTGAAATGAAACTTAAAAGGTACCTACACATAATTCAGAAAAACTTTTTTTCCCACTCAAACCTGAACTACAGGATTTACTGCTTTTTCTTTCTTTTTAGTTTAGCCAGTTAGTCAAGTAGCCAAGGATGATTCTTAGTGGCCTTATTGATCTTTTTGCCGAAATTAAACTGCTAAAATGAGGTCCTGGGGAAAGTCAGGGTACCTACGCCCTCTCCCTCCGTCCGCTGTTACTTTCCTACATCATGGGTTCCGTTTGTCGCTTCGTTTTCTCTGATGTGGTATTTATTTCCACTGGGGACAGAACACAGGCCTTTCCTCTCATTTCAGCCGCTGTTAGAACACTGTCCTTATCAAATGTCTTACTGACTTCTGAAAGCATTTATTTTACAATGTAACTGGCAGGCCTGATTAGCTAATCAGATACTCATTTATTAGTGTGCTTTGTATGTGTATACACATGCACAGGTATCGCAGCATGCATGTGGAGGTCAGAGGACAACTCTGGAAGGTAGTTCTCTCTTTCTACCTTTATATAGGTTCTAGGAATTGAACTCAGGTCATCATACTTGAAGGACTGGCACTCTTCCCACTGAGCCATCTCACCAGCCCCTACAAATATTTATTGAAATGACTTAAGGTTGATGACTTAGAGTAATCATTTTGAAAATCAATACAGTTGTCTTTTTGCAATATATTCTAATGCAATCATTTCTTGTTTATAAATTCAGCTATAGTGTATTAACTACCTCTGTTGTATAAGAAATCCATCTCAAATCTCTGTACTTCTGGAGGGAGAAGTAGAGTCTATTTCAGGGTAGCCTCAAATTTGCTATGTAATCAAGAATGACCTTGAACTTCTGATCTTCCTGACTCTACCTGCTGCGTTGGGGTGCTGGGATTACAGGTGTTTCTGTGATATTATGGATTAAGCTAGAGATTTCTGCATGTGAGACAAGCACTCTACCAGCTAAGCTTTATCCCCAGCCCCACACTTCAGTTCTTAATTAAAATCAATTTATTGTTAGATTTCATCTGTCTCTACTGCTGTGGACTGGCTGATCGACATGGGAATCAGCTCAGTGACTTCTACTTTTTGCTACTCACATCTCTAAGACTAGCAGGGTGATCGGCTAAGCTCATCTTGGCATGCCTCTGATCCATGAGGATGTGTTCCCTCTTTGATCAGGAGATTGATTATCCTGAGCCATCCTTCTTATAGACAAAACCACAGGAGCATAAGCCCAGCCTTAGCAAACACATCTCAAGAATCTGCCTGTCTTAAGAAGCTAACACTGTATTGGTTAGGTTAAATCACATGGTGAGGTGGTGAGCACTGAAAAATTACACAGCAAGAGGCATTGTTGGAGGCTGTGATGGTTTATAGTGATGTTCAACCTGATCACCAGACCTAGAATCACCTAGGAAAGGATCACCTCTGAGCATGCTTGTGGGAGATTATTTTGATTAGGTTAATTGAGGCTAAAAGACTCCTCTAAAGGTGGGTGGCACCATCCCATCCCATCGGGCTGGGGTCCTGGGCTACCTGAGAAGGGGAAAGCTAGTTGAGCACCAGCATCCACCTCTGTCTGCTTCCTGATTGTGGATGGGATGTGACCATTTTGTACCATGCCTTCCCTGCCCATGACGGACTTCCCCTCAGACTGTAAGCCAAAGTAAATTCTTTCTCCCTTAAGTTACTTGTACTGGGGTATTTTATCACAGCAACAGGAAAAGTAACTCATGCAGAGGGGGAAAGCCAACCTGAGCCCCTATTGCAACTAATTTGCATACATTAAGGTTGCAGATGCCTGGAATTCTCACTTCAGTTGCCTCTGAGAGAGGTTTCCTTTTGTAGTCAGGTATCAAGGCTTGTTCATGGCCTGCCAAAGATAGCAGTGATCATGTTTATGCTTTCAGATAGGACTGTGAGACACCGAACATTAAGTAATACACTGTCCTGCCCTAATTCATCAATGTGCATATCTTTTAAGAATGTTTTCACTCAATTGGAAAAACCAATTTCATCTTCATTTTGTCTTTTAAGTTCAAATTTACTTTCTGCATTTATTTTTGCCTTTCTTTCCCCTTGCAACTTTGCAAGTTAAGTTGGATTACTGTACCTGAGACTGTACCATCAGGGAGTATGGCCTTATCTCACAGTTCACTGGTAATTGTACATGGCTATATTGGCAAGGGTGCCCCCTTCCTCTTCATTTTATTATGCCCAAGGCTAACCTTCATCTTTTATATCTCTTCTAGCCTCTGCTGTGGTAAATACTGCTGTTTGTACTGTGGGAGTGATTTCAAGGTGCAGAGGCCTCAACATCTCACTGCTGAATGAAGAAAGTGGCCTGTGCCCTCCTTCTGCCCCTCTTCCCTTCTCCCACCTGTCCTAAGCATAGCTGCCTCACTGTGGACAGTCTTCCATGTTTCCAGCCTCTTCATAGGACAGCCAATAGTCTTCTTTTGGCCAGTGGTCCAGTGCTTCTCTCTAAGCTGGGTAGGCTGCCTATCTGACCAGCAGAGCTGTGTGTCAAGCACAGTGTGGTCTCCCTCCTCTGGCTATCAAAAGGCCCTTTGTTCCCTTCCAGCCCCTCCTGGTCCAGGATGTTGCCCACACCCTGTGACTGAAATTCCCCCTACCACACCAGATAGTCAGTAGCTCCTAGAACTCACTCTGTAAGCAGAATGTCATCTTGTGAGTGGGCACTTACCTTTTCTGTGCTCGAAGGAAGTAGTTTATAGAATTCAAGTGTACCATTGTGAACTTTAGCTTTGCACCACCGTTCCCACGCTTCCCTCCTTGGCAGTTCTGTATGATTTTCACATACCTTTTCATAAGGAAACTGGAGCTACATTCTTGAGTATAATTTCATAATGTGAACTCCTTGCTCCCCTGAACTGTCATGGGTCACCAAGCAGGTAGGGCCTGTCTTTAAACTTTTTCACACAGTAGAGGAATGCAGCTGTTTTGTATGTGCTTCAGTTTAGTAAGGCTGGTGTCAAAGGAGGGATGTGGACTTTGCAAACCACTGCTTCCCCTGGATCTCCTTACCCTAACTCTCTGTTCTTCCAGGGCTGGGCTGAATAATTTTCTCTGAAGTAATTTGCTGCAGCTTAAACTTCCAGTACAATATGTGTTCAGTGACCGAGATGCTTCGCCAGCTGTCTTGCTGCCTGGCAGCTATCTATCCTCAGGCCCAGTGATTATGATGAAAGTCTTGGTACTAAGACTATCCCAGGGACTGGAGAGATGGCTCAGCGGTTAGGAGCACTGACTGCTCTTGCAGAGGATCCAGATTCAGTTCCCAGCACCCACATGGTAGCTAACAGCCATCCATAACTCCAGTTCCAAGGGATCCAATGCCCTCTTCTGGACTCTGTAGGTGTTACACGACATCGTTCCACTTACATATATGCAGTCATACTCATATATGCAGTTTTACTCATACATGTAAAATACAAATAAATGAAACAAAAAGACAAGACCCAGACTCACCAAGACTCTCTCCACTAGGTGAGTATTTTATCCATTTCAGCCAAACAAGCCCAGAACTTTCCCAGAAGACTGTGCAAAGTCTCTGAAAGTCTAGTTGGGTTTGAGATTTGGTAGGGAAATAGTAAAGAGACTAAGGAGGGGAAACCAAAACAAGAAGACAACTGGGGAGAAGAAATCTCCTGTCCTGAGACCTGGAAAGTCAACTATTAGCCTCTTTTTCCCTTATTTTTGGTTATATTTATTTATTATTAGATAGATAGATAGATGATAGATAGATAGATGGATAGATAGATAGATAGGTAGATAGGTAGATAGATAGATAGATAGAAAGATAGATAGATGATGGATGGATGGATGGATTAATGGATGGATAGATAGAAAGAAAGAATGCAAGAAAAGGTACGTACATAGGTACTTGATAGACTGTAGACACAACGGTACTAAGTAGACAGATGACAGATGATAGAGAAATATTTGGTAGGTGAAAGGGTAGTTAGGATAGATAGATAGATGATAGATAGATAGATAGATGATAGCATATTCACTTGGCTTGAGAGCCAAAAAGGATAACATGTTGTACATTGAAAATTCTCTCTCCTGTGCTGGAAAAATGGCACAGTGGTTAAGAGCATGTACTGCCCTGCTAGAGGACCCAAGTCCAATCCCCAGCAACCACATCAGGTGACTCATAACTGTCTGTAACTCCAGCTCTTGGGGGATCCAATACCTCTAACTTCTGTGGGCACCTATCTTCAGGTGTACATACCCCCACACAGACAAACACACATATATAGTTTTTTAAAAGTCAGAACCAGGTGTGGTGGTAAACACCTTCATGCGATCCTTCCAGCATTTCTTCAATGCAGGCATACACAAGTATAGATTCTCCTCATCCATTTATCTCTCCTCTCTCATATTTATTTCCTTGTGTCCTGGCAATAATCCTTGTTGGGGCTTTGTTTGAGGGGGAGGTCAGCAGTCAGTGATCAATTTTCCTTATACATGATTCTCTGAACACATTCACCTGTGCGCTTGTCTTTCCCACAGAGGAGGTGGAAAGTGAGAAATGGTATCTGTCTGCGGACTTTCCTCCAGCCACCATCAAGACAGAGCCGATTACAGAGGAGCCACCCCCAGGACTTGTTCCTTCTGTCACTCTGACCATCACTGCCATTTCCACTCCTTTTGAAAAAGAAGAAGCCCCTGTGGATGTGAATGCTGGGGTATACTTAATTTTCTTCCATATAAACGGATGTATCAAAGGATAGAGATCTTTGGTCTCCAAATAAAGCATTGATCCTAGAGGATGTACGTATTTGAGGTTGAAGTATGTATGTGTGAGTTTAGCAAGAATATGTTCATTGATTATGTGATAGCCTTCAAACGCAATGTCCAGAGAAATCAATAGTGTAGCTGGTTTCATTTTTTCCTCAGTTGCTTTTATAAAATAAAATGCAGGATCAATATCCATGGTAAAAGATACACACACACACACACACACACACACACACACACACACACACACACACACACACACACACACACACACACACACACACACACACACACACACACACACACACACACACACACACACACACACACACACACACACACACACACACACACACACACACACACACACACACACACACACACACACACACACACACACACACACACACACACACACACACACACACACACACACACACACACACACACACACACACACACACACACACACACACACACACACACACACACACACACACACACACACACACACAAAGGCCCCCATGCTGTTGACCTTCACATCAGTTTGGGGAGGAGTGGTTGAGGTTATGAGTATAGTCCACACCTTGTAGTGCTGGTGACCGCAGATGCTGGTTCTTCGTACACTCCAGCTTTCCTGGTATATTGCTAAATCGCCCTTACATAACTCAGGAATCCACCTACTGGTTAATCCTTACATAACAGTGGAAATCACAAGAACGCAGGTATTTCCTCTTTGCCTCAAGTCCATGGCTGCAGCAAGTAGGATTCAGCTTTATTTTACCTTCTCTGGGTATTTCCAATGTCTGCCGATAGACCAGAATCATGCTTGTTTATCTTCCAATTCGAGCTCTCCTAAGGTCAGAGCCTCAGCTTACAGTGACCTGGTAATATTCACTCAGTCACATCTCTATAATGAAGATTTCGTGTCTCTTTGTTCCTGAAAAAGTCATGAAGCATCGATAGAGCCACAAACACATCACAGCCTCCTCGTTATAGAGATTCACATTACAGTTGAATCTAGTTTCTTCTAGTACCTACCTGGGTTCTGGATGGGCTCCTGAGATCTATGTCAGTCCCCTCACTCCACAAGATTAGGGCTCAGATGTTTTTTACAGAGATATTTTACTTATTATTTTTAATTTATATGTATTAGTGCTTTGCCTGCATGTATGTAAGTGCACCTGTGTGGTGCAATGCCCTTGGAGGTCAGAAGAGGGCGTTGGATCCCCTAGAACTGGAGTTATAGACGGTTCTTAGCTACCATGTGGGTGCTGGGCATTGAACTCAGATCCTCTGCAAAAGCAACCAGTTCTCTTAATCATTTCTGAGCCATTTCTCTAGCCCTTCAGTTGATTTTTAAGTATGTATGAAGCTAACATAATTCAGGATCCTGCCTCTCTTGTGCCTTTTCTCTTTTCCCTGATAGAATTCATGGTTAGATGTTGTTAGTCATTAGGATTCTAGAGGGAAAGGATGTGTCTTGGGGCACACAATCCTACTGCATGGCAGGCTGGAGGCCTGTCACCCTTTGACATTTTACCAGTATATTTCATGATAAAAAGTCTTCAGATGATCACAAAACAATGAAATAATAAGTGAGCCTTGAGTTATTAACTAGAGTTGGGCAGGTCCTGGTTTGACTGTGTGAATATTAAGAACTTGACTAACTCCCTATCTAAGATACACCACATGCCTGTGTCCCAGAGAAATGGACCAGCCCCATGATAAGATATAGTGGACAAATAGCTCCTGTTTCTTCAAAAACTGTTATTAAGTTTTAAAAAAATCATGTTTGAAATTCCTTCTTCAGGTGGATTCCTCATGCCAGACAAGTATTCCTAAGATCAAGCTGGAGCCTCATGAAGTGGATCAGTTTCTAAACTTCTCTCCTAAAGAAGGTATAGTCATTCACCCCAAGTTCCTTCCATTGCTCCAAAGTGGTCAGTCTGAAGGAAAGGGGACATAGTAGAGTGTGGGATTAGAGGGGTAGCTTGCTGTATGGAATATCTCTGTACTTAAAAATCTTGATCACCCCCCCAAAAAAAAACCATTTCGAAAGTTAGTATGTCTATATTAAAATTATTTCTCACAATGTGCTGTATTTCCATCTAGGCATTAGTATAGTTTGACTCAGCAAGGATGGGTTTTCAGACCTGCTGTTGACCACTGTGACGTGCTTACAGATGACAAGACCCACTGTCCTCATGCCCTGTTTGTGTGAACCCACCAACACTCCACAGATATACAGCAGTCCACAGAGACTTAACTAAAATTTGAGCTTCCGCCCTCTGTAAAATGAAGTCATAACGTGTCTTGTAGCAGGGGAGTGCTTTCAGATGTTGACTTTGGATGGCAACAGTTGAGTGCATCCCCCTTCCTACTCAGTAATGTTCATGGCCTCTGATTATCCATCCCTTTGGGCTTCTCGTCATTCATTTAGAACTGAATAATGCCATTCCTGGGGTTGTTTTTCTCTACATCAGTCTCTTCCTGACTTTGCCCTCTATATTCTCCCATGAGGCCCAATTGGGATCCTAGACACAGACCCTGAGCTCAGGAAGTCCTTGGTGTGCCATGCAAAACATGGTGTTCATTCTTCTCATGCTCATTCTTCTCGTTCTTCTCATGGTGCTCTGCCCATGTTGGCACCGCCACCTCCTTCACATGTTCAACACGTGTTTAGATGCACAGTTGTGTGATCAGCAAGGAAGAAATCAATATACGCAGTTATAGAGAAAATATGTGTACTGCAATGTACAACAGGGTATGTGCGCTGTGCACAACATACACACACACACACACATACACACACACACTCATACACACACACAAACTCTTGTTGTGAAGGTGTAATCTACCTTCATTCCCTTAGGACTCAACCTAGGGTTGGATTTGTGACCGTCGAGTAAGGATTGGCCTGTTTTTGCTTTCTGCTATTTGCAAAGAAAGAATTAAAAGCTTTAAGTGACTATTACCCAGCATCTGTATTAATACATTGTTTCTAGGCTTTGAGTGGCACACATTAGTGCCTTTCAGCCCTGTATTCTGCCTTAGGGTAAATGACAGCCCTTCCTCATCATCCTGGATAAAGAGAGATAAGGAAATTCAATATCCTGGAATGCAGCAAAGCGTCTATATAGCTTCTATCCTTAGCTTTTTCTGCAACCCTAGAGCAGCATTTCAAATGATATTTAGAAATCTGATCTGAGGCACCTAAGCCCAGGTGCATGGGCTCTTCCTGTCAGTTGGAGTCCCACTTTTAGAGTCCACCCCTGCTTAGAAAGGAGACAAGCATTAGAATAGTGTGGGCTGCGCCAAGTGAGAGTGACCAGGGAGCTTTAGGTTCTCAGTCTGGTTCAGCTGGGGCCCCTGATACTTTAGTCTCTTCCTGAAATTTTGCTTTTGTGACTGTTTTGGTTTTCAATACAAGTATCATATATTAGTGGCATTGGGAGAACCTTGGCTAATACTCTTAGGATACTGACTTACCAGTCAAGTACCCAACATGTTTATTTATGGTTAACTCACTGCCTTGGCTGCCAGTGCTGGGTATCCAGCATCCAGAATTCTTTTAGAACATTCTTAACCATTAAGAGTTCCTATGGACTGAAATACCTACAGAGCTTACTGACATGACTTTGATAAGAAAAGAGGAAGAAGAAGCATCTAGAAAAAAGTAGGCTGCTGAGAACAAGAAAGAAAAGGGAGATAGAGGGTTACAGACCGCTGCTTGTCACCTATGGGGCAATCACAGTCTGGATCACTTTTCTAGGCAGTAGCTGTGCTTCAGAAAGGCCCTGCCCACCAACAGTGGCACCTTGGGCAGCCTGCATTGGAAGTGGAGATGGGGAGGGGAAAGTACTGAGGCCTCAGCAGGGCCTCAAGGACAAACAGTCCCCAGACTAAGCCACTCAGGTGTGTAAAGCACCCAGACTCCCTGTCTACTCAGAGCCTATGTTGTCCTGGGGCCCAGGGAGGGGCTTGGGCCGAGGTGCCCACAAAGCTTATCTCCTTTGGTTTCGTCATGGTGGCTGACAGAACAGAAATATCCACTGTTAAGAAAAAAGAGGGACTGAGCCCCACACTGCCTTTGTGCAGGTGGGCCTGACAGGCCTCTCCCCTCAGGAGCTCATTCTGCTGTCCTGGAAGTGCTAGCCTTGTGGGTGTTGTCAGCCCTGGTGGAGTGCAATGTGTCCCTGAAGAAAGGGCTTGGAGGGGAAGACTGCTTTTACCCCCATTTCTTTTTCCTGTACCCACTAAGCTATCTAATGCTTGGCATAGATCTCTGAGAGAAGCCTGGCCTCTTGCCCACAGGCTCCACCAGGCTCATGCCTCTAGAAACAAATGGGGACTCCATGTAGGCTCCCAGGTTTGCTGTTTGCTAAAGAAATTTTTTAAAGTACATACTACATTAAAAGGCTTGAAGTTCAAATTGTGCAAACTGTCTAAAAAGTGTCAGAGTTGGGGCTGTAGCTCAGTTGGTAGAGTGATTACAGGGCACGTAAGAATCCCTGGACTTGATCCCCAAACCCCGTAAACCAGTCTTAGCACCCCTGAGGTAGAGGCAAGAGGATCAGAAGTTCAAGGTTATCCTCAGCTAGACAGAGTTTTAGGCCAGCCTGGGATACATTAGATCCTGTGTCACACACACACACACACACACACACACACACACACACACACAAAAGTGAAAAGTGTCGTCAACACAGCATCAAAGACACCCCAAACTTCTTCCAGCCCACCTGGGGTCACCCTGTTGTTAGCGTCTCCTGTCCACCTACAGTGTTGCTTCATGTGAGTATAAACAAATGTGAATCTGGATTAGAACCCCTGGACATAGTATTCCACACCTGGCTACCCTCCCTCACTACAACATAGCTTGGAGAGCTTACTAGACCAGCTCAGGGAGGATCCTCACTCTGTGTACCTGCCCCAAGCTCCCTGTGTAGAAACTGTTGTGTGTTTAACTAGCCCCCCAGTCTGGTATTATCTCTCTGTGGTGGATGAAATGAAGTTGCTTTATCCTCAGCCTCCATGGACCACCTGCACCTACCGCCAACCCCTCCCAGCAGTCACAGCAGTGACTCAGAGGGCAGCCTGAGCCCCAACCCGCGCCTGCATCCCTTCAGTCTGTCTCAGGCCCACAGTCCCGCCAGAGCCATGCCCCGGGCCCCCTCAGCCCTGTCCACATCTCCTCTCCTCACGGCTCCACATGTAAGTATTTGGATGGCCCTGTAGAGAAGTTTCTGGAGAGGCTGGGATCCTCTCAAATACGACTTTAAAAAAAAATTCTTGTAATGAAGTTTTGATGTAATGGTTAGAAATCTTTGTCCATGCTATGGTGCTGTAACAAAATATCCAAGATGGATTAAGTTATGAAGGAAAGAGTTTTATTTTGGTACACAGGCCTTCAAGTGAGAAAATCCAAAAGCATGGTGCCAATATGGCTTCTGGAGAGGCGGCTCCATGCACGGCAGAAAATCAGGAAGGGGAAGCAGATAGTGGTGGAAGGAGTACACATGCAAATCAGACAGAGGGAGGCTGGGTAGGAGCGAGCACACTCTCCTGATAACTAATCCAGTCCTATGAGACCTAACTCACTCCAGCAAGAAAGGCATTATGAATATTCTCAAAGGTCACACTTCACAGTACCTCACTGAGGACCAAGCCTTCTTGTGGGAACAAACTGGATTCAAGCCATAGCACTGAAGAAACCTAAAGTAGGGGCTGGAGAGATGACTCAGTGGTTAAGAGCACTGGCTGTTCTTGCAAAAGACCCGGGTTCGAATCCCAGCACCCACATGGCTACTAACAACCGTCTGTAACTCCAGTTCTAGGGGATCCAGTGCCCTCTTCTGACCTCTGCGGGCATTGCAGGATACCAGTGCACCTACCTACATGTAGACAATACACTCATACACATAAATAAAGAACCCTACAGTACCTTTTTCATGAGCTCACTTTCAGTTCTTATTCATGTGTTTATTTTACAGGGCTAGAAACTTAGGGCATGATATTTGTGTTCTTTTCTTTTCAAAATTACACCACAAATATTTGCCGTTCATGTAGGTAATATGATAGGAAATGCCTTTTGTAGTTTAGATAAGTGGAATTTAAAAAGAAAAGCCCTCTGTGATTTAAGTTCTTTGATGCCAACAACCCAAAGCCATAGTTTAACCTGTGTGTGTGGGGGGGGGAGGGGGCAATGACTCTTAACTCAGGGTCTTGGAATAAAAATCACAATTCATCATTCATAAAAAATAGTAGAGAATTCACATTTTACTGTTCTAAAGAGGGAATTTGATTTCTATTAAACCTTAAAACCTACAATGAAGTAAAAAAGATTATTTAAGAAATTTAAATGAGCCATTTAAAAAAAATGTCTAAGAACCACCTATCATCTTAATTTTGAAAGCTTAGATTCATCTTGCCCCCAGAAGTTTTAAATCTGTATTCTATCACCGTCACTGAGAACAAAGGAATTACGTTCCCATTGTTCTCTCTTCCACTTGAACCTGAGTTTTACTCCTTAGATTGCTGGAAGCACTTTCACTCTGCATCTGTGCATCCTTCCGATATTAACTCATTCTGTACCTTTAGCGGGGAACTCTCCCTATCATCCCCAGCCATGTCATGTTACCCTGTTACCTATGTGCATGCATGGAGCCCTGCACCTCTGCTTTGATTTCAATACCCCACTCTTTGCGGCTTCGGCTCCAGGGAGAGGCACCTTCACTTTCTTTACAAAATACAATCTGCTCTGTGCCTGGAATACTCTCCTCCCCCTCAGGTAAATCATCACGTCTCCCAGAAGGCTCATTTAACCCTCGTCTCCCACCCTGAGCCTTCTCATCCCATGAACTCACACGAGTTCTCTTTCACCAACAAGGTAATGCTCCTTCAATCACTATTACAGTTAACACTGAACTGCTCTCCTGATTTCACCATATGGCTTCATATGGTGCTGATCCTAAGCTACTTCTGAGATGGACTTTTTCTCAGTCCTCCGTGGAAACATCAGACATGGAGATTATACACTAGTGACTCAGATGGTGTGACTCATATAAACACGTCATTAGTTCTGGGCTGAATGTAATGAGCTGTGGTTCTCTTCATTGCTGACACACAGGGCAGGACTCCGGAAGCCCTAGACTTCCATGGAAAATGACTGTTGGTGTGTCTCTGGGACCTCGGGTCCTTTAACGATGAGTGGGGGTGAGGAGCAGCCACAGTATGGAGAGAGCTGATTATAAAATTATTTTCACAAGGAGAACAACAAAGCTTTTGTACACAGCAGAACTCTGAGTGATTCTTTGATCACTCCCCAGTTGTTAGGGATATGGGATACAGTTGTATGTTGTTACTTTGTGTGTATCAGCTAGTGGGGTACTTCCTGAGAACAGTGGGAAGGTGGAGACGTCTTCCACAGTCCCCCTGATTCAGAATCTTTGAATTTTAATATACCCACATGAAGGGCTAGAGAGATGGCTCAGTGGCTGAGTGCTTATGAGGGCCTGAGTTCGAATCCCCAGCACCCACATCAAGAGCCAGGCGTGTGTCTGTAACCCCAGTGTTGGGGAGTGGAGACAGGTGGGCCCCAAGAACCAACATAGTTGAAAACAGTGAGCATCCAGCTCAGTGAGAGACCCTGTCTCAAGGCCATAAAGCAGACAGTAATAGAGAAAGACACCCCACATCCCGCTGTAACCTCGCACAGGCACACACATCCACACACTCACATGCACGCACCACACATGTAAATTAAAAATAGATCACATGGGCACATCTTTTCCATCACTGCTCCTGTTTCAAAGCACCTGTTCCTCGCCTGGAGCAAAACTTTCTTTCTCTGCACTGTTAGTGAGACACTGTGGCAGGTTCTCCACCTTATACTGAGGTCATTTCTTGCTCTTTCCCCTTGACTCTTCTTTGCTCCCTGGTCTGCACAGAAGCTGCAGGGATCTGGCCCACTGGTCCTGACAGAGGAGGAGAAGAGGACTCTGATTGCTGAGGGCTATCCTATCCCCACCAAACTGCCCCTCACGAAATCTGAGGAAAAGGCCCTGAAGAAAATACGAAGGAAAATCAAGAACAAGGTGAGCCTTCCCAGTCTAGGCACTTCCATGACAGAGACAGGCAGAACTGAGCCCTCAAGCCTTCCTCCCTTCCCAAGCACCACAGTGGGGCTCCAGGCTCAGCCCTTCCCTTCCTACATTTGCCCATCTTCCTCCAACTCCTTCCACCCATGTGGGCACGAGCTGCATGCCTGTGTGTGTATCTTGCTGCAATTCACTTATTCAGAAGTAGGGTAGATGTGAGACCCTCCCTTTAAATTTTTTTTTTTTAAATCTCAATCTTTCAAGTTTTCACAATATATGGAGTATTTTTTTCTAGTCAACACATATGTAATTTATTAAAAGTTTTATTGTGGCATCTACTAAAAAGTTTTTTTCTGGAGTCATTTGGTCTCTGTTTGAGCTCTTCTGTGGCCTAGGCTGAGGAGGGCAGCTATGGAGGGTGGCAGTCAAGGCAAAGAGAACGGGAGAGGAAGGCAGAGCAGAGCCTGCAGACAATTTGTACACATCCAGGCCCAGCTGGTTGAATTTATACATGAGCCGGCCAAGGTCCAGAGAGCTGGTATTTTTCTGAGGCCATTTCAATGGTCTGTGGCCCACTTGTTGGCGAGTTGGGATGGGCTGAATGAGCCAGGGACAGAGTTAATGATAAGCAGATGAGTCTGTAATTTAAACAAAGGGAAGTTGGCCACAAAAGTGAGGCCAGCTTTGCTAATTCTTGTGCCAGTGGCTCCTGTGTTTTATTTACAGAACTGAAAATTCATTCTTCTCTCTTCCCCTCCTTATTCCAGATTTCTGCCCAGGAAAGCAGGAGAAAGAAGAAGGAATACATGGACAGCTTGGAGAAAAAGTAAGTCCGCTCACTGACTGCTTGTGTTTATTAGGGAATGTTCACCTTGCAAGGTGAGGGGCTCAGAGTCCTGTTTGTGAGACCCCGTGCATCAGCTGTGTTTGCCTGCCCCCTAGTGGTCATGTGGAAGGAGCACTTACGCTTATGGGCTGGTAGGGGTCAGGCATTTGAAAATCAGAAGGATCTTGAGCGCTTTGAAGCAGGTTCAGATACTGACTTTTCTGGAACTCTTCGGAGGAGGCGCAGCTTCCGCCTAAAGGAGCAGTGTGATTTAACCAGTTCCCACCAGCCACATCTGTGTAAGTCAGACTGCTGTTCTCTATTTCCTGTCCACTCTAATGCATGCTGTGGGCAGCTGAAATTTTTACAAAAACACACGAAGGCACCCTCTATGCCTCTGAAAATCCTGGAAGGTCCGGAGGGCTGTTAGACAAGTGTGAATTGAGTCTAATTTTTCTGATCCTTGAAAATAATTTTCCGGCCGAGAAGTTAATACGATTTTGAGATAGGAAGGAGGCCCCCCGAAGACCCACAAGTGCCTCTTTTTGTGCATGTAGGGGAAGGGAGTGCTGGATGGACCCTAACTAGTTCTAGACATTTTTATGGAAAGAAGTGAGTGTGTGACCTGATTTAGGAGTTGGTGATTTTGCATTAAGCACTCTCATTCTGTCTCTTATGTTCCAAAGGCATCCAGATGTTTCTATGAGATTCATTTGCCTGCCTCTCTGGGCCTGTGGACTCCAGCACTGTGCTGTTTGTCCTGGGCTCTGGTTCCTCCCATCTCTCACTCAAGCCCCAGGCTTTGTATCGGTCCCTCTGGCTGGTAGTGATCCTGGCAGCTCGGTAGTGCAGGAAAGGGTAAGAAGTGAGAGCAAACAGGTTGTAGGACCCTAGAAGAATTGATGTGTTGTACAGCCCCGCTGCCCTTCCCGAGGTGAGCCTGGCTCCTCAACCTTTGGTCTCTTTCCTCAGGCTGCCCTGGCCCTTCCTCACTGCCCCACTTCCCCATCATCCCACCTGCTTCTATACCAGCTCCTGGCTGAGCAGCTGCTCTGTAGAGAATGATTATCTTCCTTCTCTCACCCCAGAGTGGAGTCTTGCTCAACTGAGAACTTGGAACTTCGGAAGAAGGTAGAGGTGCTGGAGAACACCAACAGGTGAGTGTGGCCCGAGGGAAAACAGCGAGAGGGAAGGACAGAACATGGAAGGAACTGCGAAGGGGTCAGGATCCAGGACCAGCGATGGGAGGGAAGGGGTTCCCACTGAAAGTGGGCTGTGCCGGATACTCAGGGTGCAATGCTCTACCTACTGTTCCTGCTATATGTGCCCTACCCCATACACACAGGCACACACACATGCATGCAGACACATGCCCACACACAGTGTATACGTGCATCACATACACATTCTTTACTTTTTATACAGGTGATAGGAAGGCTGATCATGGCAAGGATCGTTATAAGGAAGTTAAAAGAGGAGTGAGCCGAGAGCGTGACTCAGTGGTAGGGTGCTTTCCTAACATGCACGAAGTCCAAGATTCACTCCTCACCACCACCACCACCACCACACACACACACACACACACACACACACACACACACACACACACACACACACAAAAAAAAAAACCCAAAAAATTATTAGAGCAGAAGAAAATCCTTGGGTCTGATCCTCCTGCAAATCGCACTCAGCTTTAGAGATGGACAAGGAGGCACTGGGCTACTTACTGTAGTGTCACCTAATTTTAGTAATAATCATTGTTAGTTAACAAAGAGAATCATGTTTTAAAATCTATTTTTTTAAATTAATGAATTAGCTTCAGTTCTATTTTGAAAAATGAACTATGGCTTCAAATTGATGAATTTCTGTATCATTTTCTGTGTCGGTTACTGTTTTAGGCACATTGTAGATATTAACGCACTTATCTGTATGAGATGGTATTGTGACTGTCTCTATTATAGAGAGGAGTAACTGCAGTCAGACCGCAGTTTAAACCTATGCAACTTCCATATAGGAGGAGCCTATTAGATTTAACTGTAGGGCATATGCAAGAGGTTAGGATGGGATAAGGCTCTGGCTGTTGCATTCGAATTAGAATGTGTATTTGTGTATGTACATGGTAACTGTGCTCTGAAAATAATTATATTAGTCAAAGAATCCTGTCGCCCTTAATGATATTATAGGTCCAATAAGCCAAGCAAAGGAAAGTGGATCAGGGGATAAAAAAATATCAGTCATTTCAGGGTTCAGTATTAGTGACTAATCACAATTTTTCAAAGGTCAGGGGATCTGCCTAAATCTCTGCATGTTTTTGATAGTAGCCTTGCCTTTGAAACCCGTTTCCTATAGCTCCCTGATTTATTGTTCTGAGAGTAGACTAATGTACTCTGAAGTTGAACTGTTGTCAACAGGAGTCCACTGGGTTCTCTTTCTTTCTGGAAGGGTGCTCACACAGTAGGTCAGGTGCAGTTTACCTGACTGCTGTGTCCTCAGACTGCCTGGGAGGGAGCATGCTTCTCCTCTCCCTCCCTGTGGCATTACTTCACCTGATGGTTCGTCCTAGCACTGTTGGATTCTAGTTTCACTGTTCATCCTTGACCTTGGTCTCCCGAGGCTGCATCTCCCTCTGGCTGCCTTCATTTCAGCAGAAGTGATTTCAAGGTTTTTCTGGTTCTCTGCATCCTGCATCCCAGCCATTTCTTTAGCATCCTGAGCATCCAGCTGGTCCTCTCCCCTGCCCTGTGCTCGCCGCTTTGGAAACTCCATATTCCTGGTTGAGAACGAATCTGGCCATGAGCGGTTGGATTCTAGTTTCACTGTTCATCCTTGACCTTGGTCTCCCGAGGCTGCATCTCCCTCTGGCTGCCTTCATTTCAGCAGAAGTGATTTCAAGGTTTTTCTGGTTCTCTGCATCCTGCATCCCAGCCATTTCTTTAGCATCCAGCTGGTCCTCTCCCCTGCCCTGTGCTCGCCTCTGTGGAAACTCCATATTCCTGGTTGAGAACGAATCTGGCCATGAGCCGGGGAAAAGGGGGAAGGAAGAATCAATTGAAATTGCTCTTGGAGTTTGTGTCCTGAGGCTTGTCCTTGCCTGGGACTCCGATGTCAGGCCTTCTGTCAGCCACATGGGTGCAGCAGAGCCTCAGCAGGGCTGTGCTGGGATCAGCAGGGAGCTTGTGGGGAGAAAGGCCCACTGGCCACCTGGTCTGGGAAAGGGGTCTCTCCTCCCCTCGCCATCTGACCGTCTGTCTGTGCTTTGCCTTGTTTGTCTATTACTTGATTACCTTGAACATTTTAATTTTTCCCCTGCCTCCATTCCCAGGTGCTGGGATTTCAGATATGTGTCACCACACCCAGTTTGAACATTTTAAAATTTTGCTTCTTGGCTTAAATCAGGTAGCCACAGAAAGTCCAAATGTGCAAATGTCCAGGGTGTCTTACTGAACCTTTTGTGTAGACTGCTGTGTCAGTGAGCTTCTAGGATCTACCTGTCTCCATTCCCACACCCTACCCCTCCACTCCCAGTCCTGGGGTTATCTGAGCTTGCTGCCATACCTGGCTTGCTTTATTTATTTATTTATTTATTTATTTATGTATGTATGTATGTATGTATGTATTTATTTATTATTTTTTGAGATAAGGTCTCCCTGTATTCCCAGCTGGCCTAGAACTTGCTATGTAGACCAGGCTGGTCTCAATCTCACAGAGATCCTCCACCTGTCTCCCTCTCCTTTCTCAGTACTGGGATTAAAGGCATGAGCCACCATGCCCAGCTACATCTGGTTTTTAAGAGGATATTGGGTACCAAAACTCCTCATGTTTGCATGTCAAGTGCTTTTATTTTCCTAAATAAAAAAGATTTTTCTTTTTCCTATTAATGAAGGTGCTGATTTCATTTGCGTTGGGTATATACCTAGTAGTAGGGATTGCTGGTGAGATGGTATTTCTGGTTTTAACTTTCTGCGGAGTTCCACACTGCTTTCTGTAATGGTTGTACAGTTGACATTCCCGTCCACAGTGGACTAGGCTCTCTCCACCCTTGTCAATACTTACTACACCTTGTCTTCTAATAATAAGTACCCTATCAGGTATTGTAATCTTGATGTATGTTTCTCTGGTGATTAGTGGTATTGAATACCTTTTCATATACCTGTTGGCTGTTTTTGTATCTTATTTTGAAAGATGTCTTTTCAGAGCCTCTGCTTACTTAAAAATTTTTTGTTGCTGTTCATTTTTAAAATATATGAATATTTTAAATATTTGAATACTGACCCCCTACTGGTTTATATGGTTCATAAATCTCTTCTGCAGTCCATAGACAGTCACTCAATTTGTTGGTCTTTTTTTTTTTTCCTATGCAGACACTTTTGAGATTGATACAGCTCTACTTCTTTTTCATGATTTTTTTTAAAAACTTAGAAGAAAATGCACATATAGTATAAGCCCATTGCTTAAAAAAAAATTCAAGGTCTGGGGAGATGGCTTAGTCAGTAATTTGCTTGCCTTAAAAGCATGAAGACCTGAGTTTGATTCCCAGAACCCACATTAAAAAGCCAGGCATAGGAAGTGGAGAGATGGCTTAGCAGTTAAGAGCACCAGTTGTTTTTGCAGAGGACCAGGGTTTAGTTCTCAGCCCCCACATGGTTGCCAACAACTGTCTACAGCTCCAGTTCCAGGGGGAGCCAACACTGTCTTCTGACCTCCACAGGCATTTCATGACATGTGTGTACTTGCATACATGCAGACAAAGCACTCATACACATAAAAATATGAATAAGCAAAAACAGCTTTAAAAAGCCAAGCATGTGCTCATAGTCCCTCTACTGGGGAGCAGGAGACAGGCGGGTCCTTGGGGCTTACTTGCCAGCCTGCCTGGCCTAATTTGTGAGCTCTAGGCCAGTAAGTGAGACTGTCTCAAAAAACAAGATGAACAACTCCTCAGGAATGACATCTGAGTTTGTAGTCTGGCCTCCACATGCACACGCGCGCGCGCACACACACACACACACACACACACACACAAATGTACATGCACACCGGCATACACATGTCCTCAGAGGAACATGCACCTCCCCCGCCCCCCTCCGCCAAATTCAATATGTACTTAAAAGCAATATATTCTTAAGATCCTTTGACTTGGGCCTAGTGTTGCATTTTGGGATGGTTTATATGTATGTTCGTATTATATATATTCTGTTATTTAGAACTTTTATTTTCATTGAAAGAATATACTGGATGCATTTTCCACCAATGTTTCTACTGAATCTATGTTTGAATCTGTTTTAACACTTTACCTCAGGACATTGATGTTTGGTCTTTCCTTGACAGTGAATATTAATGAAAGTAATCAGGACTGATATATTGATACTCATCAAAACAGGGGGGCTTTTGTTTATTTTGTTTTATCTCCAGTTTTACTGAGGGTAAAATTGACAGATGAAATACACACACACACACACACACACACACACACACACACACACACGCTACAGCTTGTCTGGAACTTGCTACTTGCTATGTAAACCAGGCTGGCCTCCATCTCACAGCAATCAGCCTGCCTCTGCCTCCTGAGTGCTGGGATTAAAGGAGTATACTACCGTGACTGGCATGAAATTGTTTATTTTTAAATGTCATGATTTAATATATGTGTACATTGTGAAATGATTGCTATAGTCGATTGATTTAATCCCCCCTCCCACACACACATGGTTACGGCTCTTTCTCTCTCATGCAGATACTTAAGATCTACACTCTGAGCAGAGTATTCCCACTGCATTGTTACTTGTAGCTACTTGCTGTGCATCAGATCACAGAACTTTTTCATCTCAAAGCTGAAATTTTGTAGCCTTTAATGAACGTATCTCCACTTCTCTCCTCCTCATCCCTGCAAACTACCATTCTATACTCTTGTTTCTGAGTTGAACTTTTTATTTATTTTAAAATATTTTGTTTATTATTTTTATTTTATGTGTATGAGTGTATTGACTGCATGTGTTTAAGTGCACCCATGTCATGCAGTGCCTGCGGAGGTCAGAAGTGGGCTTTGGATCCCCTGGAACTGGAGTTAGGATGGTTGTTAGCTGCCATGTGGGCACTGGGAATTGAACCCAGGTCCTCTGTAACAGCAGTCAGTGCTCTTAACTGCTAGCCACTGAGT